AAAATTAGAAATCAAATCAAGTATTCGACTCACATTCTCGATGATAAAGCGGTTCGTGCCCACGATGATGCTGATGGGATCGCCGATGGGTGACAGAGCTCCGCCGATGTTCGCGTGGACAATGATGCCCATGACGACGGGTATGGGATCCAGTTGCATGACCTCGCACAGACGTATTGCAACTGGTGTGAGCAGCAGCACGGTGGTCATGTTGTCCAGCAAGCTGGACACCAGACAAGTGATCACGCAGAGGCTATAGATCATCGGCCAGATCTTGCCGCCCGAAACCTCAAAGCAAACGACGGCCAGATAGTCGAAGACACCCGTCTCGGTGAGTATGAGAATGAGCAGCATCATGCAGAAGAGTAGGGTGAGCAGTTCCATGTCCATCCACTGCTTGATCTCCTCCATATTGGGGCGATCTTGAAAGGCAGCCAAGGCCGTCACTGAGAGCACTGAACAGATGATGGCCACAAACGGACGATCGAGTTGCTCCGAGATGAGCAGGCCGTAGAAGAGCAGCAGTATGAGTCCCGCTAGAATGCTCCCAGTGCGATTGTTCACAATCAACGGATTATAGCTGAGATCCACAGCCAAATCCTGTTGAGCATTGCTGTAGATGCGCAAACGCATGCGACTTTCCCGATGGGCGAGCAGCTCACCCAACTCGGGGGTTATGTGAAAGGTGTGATTGCGATGCACAGCGGGCGACCTGAAAAGCTCATCATCCGGCACCAAAGGCAGCTGCCAGGGTGATAAGACATCCTATGAAGGCAGAGAGAGAGAGAGAGAGAGAGGAGAATTAACTTGATGGCGGAGTATTTGATCTATTCTTCAGCTCTACCATATAGTCCCGACTCCCATTGTGGGACAATTGCGGCTGCACAAACAGATAGCTGCGACTATCCGTCTCGTTCTCCTCCAGCTCAGTCTGCAACTGTTTGAAGGACTGCTCGAAGGCGCCCTCCAGCCTCAGGTAGAAGTCGCCCATGGGCTTCTGCTCCAGCTGAAAAACTAAGCGGAAGATTAGAGTGCAGAGAGATGTGGGAATCGTGCGTGTGCCCTACATTTGCCAATCTCCCCTTTGGGCACCTGCACAATCTTCTCGAGCAGCTGCTTCTCGCCCACGCTGATCAGGACGCCGGCTGCCACGACCCAGATGACGAGCAGGCAGCATCTCTTCAAGCGTTTATCCCGCTGCTGTTGCTCCTTGGAGCGCTTCGATTTGTGATGCAGACGCCGAGCCACGGCCTTGGCGCTGCCGGGTCCATTTGCGTGCGGCTCGTGATCCGAGTGAATCGTGGTCGCCTCATCGTCTGTGCTCTTGTCGCCGTCATAGTTCGGCTTCATTTTGATGTCCAGAAAATCGGAGCCCGCATAGCTAGATTTACGGTCGTCTGGCTCCTCCACATCCAGCTCGACCTCCACATCGTGCTCCTCCGCCTCGCTGTCGGCGACCATGGAGCCTGTTCACATATGCCAACCAAATGAAACACATTTATTACCACCGAGACTCAATTGCCTGTCAAGGGCTTTTCATCTGCCTGCCAAGTATTTGTCAAGTGCTTGTCAAGTGCTTGTCAAATGCTATTCAATCTATCGGGTCTGACATTATTTAATAATCGATAGGACTCAAGATAAATGTTTTGACTGCTTTTAGGTTAATTTATCCCACTCAAAAGACTAAAAATTAAGGGATCTGCTGCTCGACTAGCAGATGCCCTTTAAATTAAATTTCTTTTATTCTTTTATACATACTCTTGGGATTAGAGTGAAAATTTTAATATATCAGCAGCTTATTAATATTGTATGGTAAATATATGAGTTTGCTCGACTCGAAGATACCCTTTAATATACACAAAACAAAATAAGTTTTAAGATGATGATCGTGGAATAATCTATGATTTTTGTTAAATTGAAAAGAGAGTAAAAATGACAATTGATAAAGTCTGCTCGACTTATAGATACCCTAATCATTCGTTTCTGTTATAGAAATCAACTTTTTTGAATTGACTTTTAAATTCAGCATGCTATTCATGGTAAATTGGAATAATAATAATATAATATAAATGGAATTTCAATGGGTACGGGGTATTGCATAGTCGTGTGCAATGAACTTAAAAGAAATTCCAGTGTATTCTTTAAGCTAATCTTCAACAGCATGCGCTCTTATACATATATACTTCAGCATACACTTTCAGTACCCCTGTACATGTGTATACCCTGTAACTGCGCTTGCTGCTCTATTGGGTCTGCTCGACTCACCGTGAACGCGCTTGTTTTCCATTTGAAAGCTCGCCATGCTCGGATCATGTCGAATCTCCGCTGGCAATGCCCGCCACACCTGCAACGTTTGCTCAGTTAGATGGGGCGAGGACTGAGTCGTGGTCAGGAATGGAGGCGGAACCGGAACCGGAACCTGTAGATCCAATTGCGTTTTACTGCGATGCTGCAGCTCGATGCCGTGCGAGGGGCTGCGTGGACTTGGACTAAGTCGTCGCAGCGTGCCGAGCAGGCCCATGATGCGAATACACTACACGCTGTTCTACTGCGCTGTTATACTGTTCTACTGCGCCGTTATACCGTTGCACACACCTTTCCGTTGGGCAGCTGGGAACCGTACACATGCTGTCAGGCCACGGCTCGGGTTGCGACTGAATCGTCAGTTGAGACGTGTCGAAACATTTTTGTGGTTTCGTCTTCCAGCAAACGCTTTCAATATTGAACGAACCACTCTGCCCCACTCTGTCCCACCTGCCGCACTGTTACACTCTGGGCTTGCTTCCAGGATGGAAGCTGGCGCCTGCGCAAGTTTTTTATTTTTTATTTTCTTTTTTTTTATGTTCTCATTTAGCTCATTCACGTTTCCGTGTTTTGGTCGCTGTTCGCTTTTTGTCAACAAGTTTCCTTTTGTTGAGCCACTGAAACCACTGAACCACTTGCCTTATTCACGGCGACGTGTCAACAGCTCACTTAGCTGGCCCCCCACAGTCACAATTAAATAATTCATAATTAATTCACAACTTTTCGGAACTGCGCATACGACATGTGTGACAAATGCAATTTGAAGCTCGACTCTCTGTGACATTTACTGGCAGAGCGAAACGTGCTGCAGCTAGCTAAGGAATTTAATTGCCACGACGTCACTTAATGGGCACAGTAGGCACTCGCAAAGTGAAATAACTCACTAAAGAG